ATGCAAAAGTATAATGAAATAATGCAAAAGGATAATGAAATAATGCAAAAGAATGCTGTAATTGAGCAGAAAGAAGAGGATATACAAAAACAAAAACAAGAAATTGAATCACTTGAAAATCAGCTTGGTAGAAAATTTTTAGTATTCTCTTAAATATTCAATATTATATTGTGATTGTTAATAGCTCCTCTTTATTATTGCAGAAGAGGCTACAATATTTATTATAGAGGAAGCACAACAATTAATTACAAAGTTTTCAGAGAGAATAGCAGTTAAATCACATGTTTAAAAAATTTCACCAAACACGTGACATAATTTCACAGGATCATTGCAAATTAACCGATGAAATTTTAACTGTTATCCTTTGCAAAGGATAGTTGATGCTTTCGCTACGGCTGTCGCCTTCGCTTCAGCATTTTTTTTTTTTTTTACTAAAATCAAAAAAAAAAAAAAAGATTTTTAGTCGTCTTACTCTAACCCTAAATTTAAACAAAGACTTTAACTAAATTCAAGACTTAAGATTAAAGATGTTTAATAAAAATAAAAATATTTATAGTAATAATTATTATCATATGCTTGAATCGTATTATTAATATATTTTTATTATATAATATAAAAAGAAATCAACAAGTTGTTCTCTAATATAGACAACTTTTACATCGTTTAATTTTTTTTTTATTTTCCTTTTTCTTAATCTAATTCATCGAAGTTTGGCGCCTATTTAATCTTATCCTAATCCTAATATGATTGCTAATTCTAATCTCTAACCTAACCACCAATAATAATAAGTAACAAAAAGTGAAGTAGAAAAATTAAAACGAATATTCAGTAAACGACGGTAATAAAAGCAAAAACACCAACAAACATCGACAAGACACTAGCTAAAGTGAACACCAACAAACGATAATGTCAGCAAAAGTGAAGACACCCAGCAACGACAATGACACAAATAACGGATGTTCTATAGAATAGGTAGGCAAACTCCGCTAAACTCAGCTGAATATATTAAAAATTAATGATTACTAATCATTAGCGAAGCTTATTTCTTATATTGCCCGCTATTCTATAGAACATCCCAAATGATGGATCACCATCAAATGACGACGACTGGACGACAACGTCTATAACCTAAACACTAAACCAACAAACACGAAAAATTAAAATTACCAAACACGACAGTAATAAAAGCGAATTAACGTCGACACCAAAAAGCGATGGCGAAGACACCAACAACGGCACAAATAACCATCATCAAGCGACGACGACTGAACACAACGTCTTCCAACCTAAACACTAAAACAACAAATACAAGAGAAATCAAAATCACATACGCGACAGTAATAAAAGCGAAACACCAATGAACGTCGACACCAGAAAACGACGACACCAACAAGCGAAACGTCGACAAACGACGACTCCAACAAGCGAAACGTCGACAAACGGCGACTCCGACAAACAACAAGAACGACAAGACACCAATAAAGACGACGACGTCGACGAAGACACCAACAACGACCATCGACGACACTAATAAAAGAAAAAAAAATTAATCAGTAAAAGAAATCCAATCAGTAAAAGAATCATGTGATGTGCGATATTTTTTAGACTGGTGATGCTAGACTTATATTCAGAGAGTGGTTTCGAGAAAGAACAAGAGAAATTCGTTTTAAACGTATCTGGGTACGCATTTTTATAAGGTACAATGTCATCCATTATGCATTCCTTAATATAATCTATATAGCCTTAATTCTTAGTAATGAAATTACACTATCGGAATATGATGAGACAGTAGAAGACATTCAATTTAAGCGGACACAGCTTAATAAGGAACGGAAACAATATACAGATGCATTGATTCGCTTAGGCCATGATAGAGAAGCTTTGCTTGTATGTGTTTTTAATGTTTCACCTTTATTATTTGTGTGCTTATTTAGTAAAATTTTACAGAGCGAGTCGAGTTTGAACAAGAGAAGAGAGCATGGAAGACATTACATGCAACACCGTATGTATATATTCTATTTAAACGGTTTACAATGCATTTTACTAATTGAACATATCGATATTACCATTTTTCTTTACAGCTGATTTCATAAATTCTGGGACATCTGGCAAAAAATGGTCCGAACCAGTGTTGGCAAATGATCTAAGTCATAACATTTTTTTAATATGACCTTAGTCATATAATCATATGACTTGTCATAGGTCATATTTGTAGGTCAT